ACTTTGGATATATGTTTCTATGATTTCTGTACCTATATGTGCGTAAATGTTCATGTTAATGTTCTGGTGTCTTATAAACCCATATGGGCTGGGCGACAAAAGTCACAAGACACCTAAATAAAATTCATTCATTCATTCATTCATATAGCCCATGCAGGCCCTCATGTAATTTTGTGTCTAGAAAATTGTAATAGATAAAAATTATAAAGGAATAACTGTTTGCTTGTGTGTACCAGGTGTGATGGTCACCTGCAGTCATGTCAGCTGCGCACCTGCCCAGGTTTGACTCACCTGTGAGGAACGTGAACACCTGTCTGTCTCCTGCATAGTGGGAACTCTACACGTGAGAAACAGCTTTACAGGTGAGAAAAGCTTTACAGGTGAGAAAAGCTAAATACAGATGAGGACATACCATCTTAGTTTTCAGGTGAGAAACAGCTGTACAGGTGAGAAAAAAATGTGAGAACACCTGTACAGGTAAGAAAAGATCTAGTGGATGCTTTTAGGCTGATACATGTACAGTATTTTGTTTTCTGACATCATTTTTGTCAATAGATCTTTATAGCTAGAATTCCAGTGTAAGCACCAAACTGAAATTATACAAGAGGACAAAATTGTACAAATCTGATCTTATAACCGCTAAAATCTTACCTTAATGCCCCACAGATTGCTACATTGACTCTTGCTTCAACTGGCTGCACTGCCAAACTTTGCCCTGGCTGACAGCCGACCTTTGCCCCGGCAGAGGCTGACCTTTGCTCCAGCTGACAGCTGACCTTTGTCCTGACAGAGGCTGACCTTTGCCCCAGGTGACAGCTGACCTTTGCCCTGGCTGACAGTTGACCTTTGCCCTGGCTGACAGCTGAACTTTGCCCTGGCTGACAGCTGACCTTTGCCCCGGCAGAGGCTGACCTTTGCCCTGGCTGACAGCTGACCTTTGCCCCAGCTGACCTTCGCCCTGGCTGACAGCTGACCTTTGCCCCTGCTGCAGTGATAATGCAGGCAAAGCAATGGCTCCTGGCCGTGACGCTGACGACGGCTCTGCTCCTGTTGTACTACATGCACGCGGTGGGGGGGCCGGGATGGCACGCTGTCATGGCAAGGTGAGTACTACTGTTGTTCTACTGCTGTACTACTGCTGTACATTAAAATTTTGTATCGTCTGGCCCTTTCAGCATTAAGACACTGCCTCCTATCTTCTTCAAAGGCTGCAGTGGCTCGAGATATGAGTGCCCTCCAGGCCGACTTCTGTCAGTAGCTGTCTGGGGATACGGTTATTGTATCATATTATATATACAATATCACCTAGAGCTTTCGACCAGTCACTCTGGTCTTCCTCAGTAGACTGACCCAGTGAAGCTTGTCACATGGCTTCTGGTCGAAAGCTCTAGGTGAGAGAATTTCTTGTGTTGGATCAAAAGTTTTAACTTTAAACATGTAGCTTACTGGAGTTTCTTTTTTACAAATCATCATTTTAGATGTGTTAAACGTGTATGTCATGTGTTAAATGTGTATGTAAATAGTTAAGTAGCGTGTATAACTATAAATATTCTTTAAAAAACAACCATTTGTACAGAAAGAAAGCAATTCAGCCCACGGCTGCAAGAGTCGATGCCCTGCAGCCATATACTAGGAGGACTGCCTCGACAGTAGAGAGGAAGAACCTCACCTTCAGTCCACACGAGATTGACTCCAAGAGGTTTGATTTCCAGATGTTTTTCAGCTTGCTGGCAGCCTGCCAGGCAGCTGCTTTTCTTGCAGTGATGTTCCTCACTGTACTTTTCATTCTAAAGTCCTTTACTTCATCCAGGGCGGTGCCATTGTTTGTTCTGAGGCTGTGTATGGCGTCGGAATGTTTAAATGAAACAGATAAATCTTTTCTTTCCAGCCTTCTAACCATCTAACCTTCACTGACGTATCTTGAGCTTGTTGGCTTGCCTCTGCCAGGGAAATCCAGATCAGTCACTACCTTCAGGCTCAGTCTTCTGCTCCTTCTCTTCTCTATATAGCCATGCCTTCAAGTACCAGAGTTATCAACCCATCATTGAGGTGTTCAAGAACTCATTCTTTCCTAGAAGTATCGCAGAGGGGAACTCGCTGTACTATTACGCCAAAAAGCAGTTACTCAAGCAACTGGATATGATTTTGCAGAAGCATTTCCCCTCTGGTCTCTCAGTCACTGACAAAAGCTAGTGGATACTAGCTGAAATGTCTGTTTCCAAAATCATATCCAGTTGCTTCAGTAACTGCTTTTTGGCTTATCATCTTACCTGGATGGCTAACCTTCATCGACGTATCGCTGTACTATTGTTGTACTATTGCTGTACTATTGTTGACTTGTTTTCTTGTTTGTTAGTTTGTTCAGGGCCGCCGACATCGAGGCCTACCCTGAAACCTGAGTTCTACTGCTGTATTTCTCCTGTAACTGCTGTACTAGTGTTGTGCTACTGTTTTGCTACTGTTGTACTATTGCTATACTACTGTTGACTTGTTTGTTAGTTTGTTCAGGGCCGCCGACATCGAGGCCTACCCTGAAACCTGAGTTTAACCTGAGTGTAACTGCTGTACTAGTGTTGTGCTACTGATATACTACTGATGATGTACTTAACTGTTGACTTGTTTGTTAGTTTGTTACTGTAGTTTGTACAGGGCCGCCGACATCGAAGCCTATCCCGAAACCTGAGATCTACTGCTATGCTACTGCTGTGCTACTAATGTATTACTGACATACTACTGCTGTATTACTGCTGTACTACTGCTGTACTAATATACTACTGCAGCTGTACTTAACTGTTGACTTTTTTTCTTGTTTGTTAGTTTGTTCAGGGCCGCCGACATCGAGGCCTATCCGGAAACCTGCGTTCTGTTCAACAAGTCGCGGCTGCTGGCTGAGATGCTGGTCGTCGTGGCAACCACCCAGCAGCCAACCACGGCGCCCGTCGACGTCGGGACCCTCGGGCAAGAGCTGCTGTTACCATGGCAACAGAACAGGACCGCTTCTCAACATCTCATGTAAGGTTTGGACATGAACTCTAGAAGGGACAAGTTTTGAATTTTTGCTCACTTCAAATACTGTTTCTCTTGATGTTTAGAGTTAAAACTTTAGATCCAACACAAAAAGTTCTCTCACCTAGAGCTTTCGGCCAGTCACTCTGGTCTTCCTCAGTAGACTGACTCAGTGAAGCTTGTCATGTGGCTTCTTTGAAGTGTGACGTCAACACTGGGTCAAAGGTATCTGGTAGACGTCACACTTCAAAGAAGCCACGTGACAAGCTTCACTGGGTCAGTCTACTGAGGAATACCAGAGTGGCTGGTCGAAAGCTCTAGGTGAGAGAACTTTTTGTGTTGGACCAGAAGTTTTAACTTTAAACATAATACACTATTCTGTTTTTCCTTTTCTGTATTCTGACAGAAAAAGTTTCTGTTTCTGTGCAGGGACGAACTCAATAATTGCACAAGCACCCAGGCCGAAGCCATTCTTACCCGGGCCAACACCAGAAATGGGCAGAACATTCGCTACTACATCCAGCATGAGAAAACCTACCAGGCAAACCGCATGTTCTACAACACACTACCCAGGGTAAGTACTGATTCAGAACATACTGCACACTGTACAGCACTGCAAAGTTGTAGTGTCTTGTTGAGCTACTTGACTTATTTGCATCATCCTTGTCTTGACTTGTCTAACTTTTGTTTCCTTTTGGACTTTAACAAAATATCTTATTTGCACATCTATCAATAGTTCGTGCTTATAAACCTGTCTTTCTCCTGCAAGTCTCCAGTGTCACTGACAAAATGTAGTGGATGCTACCTGAAACTTCTGACTGTTTCCAAAATCATATCCAGTTGCTTGAAGTTGATGCTGTTGCCATGCTCGAGTGTTAATGTTTGTTTGTTTGTTTGTTCAGACGTCCCCGCTGCCCCAGACCCCGTACAGACGCTGCAGTGTGGTTGGAAACGAAGCCGTGCTCAAGTGTTAATGTTTATTTATTTGTTTGTTTGTTTGTTCAGACGTCTCCCCTGCCCCAGACCCCGTACAGACGCTGCAGTGTAGTGGGAAACGAAACCGTGCTCGAGTGTTAATGTTTGTTTATTTGTTTGTTTGTTTGTTTAGACATCGCCCCTGCCCCAGACGCCGTACAGACGCTGCAGTGTAGTGGGAAACGAAACCGTGCTCGAGTGTTAATATTTGTTTATTTGTTTGTTTGTTTGTTTAGACGTCCCCCCTGCCCCAGACGCCGTACAGACGCTGCAGTGTAGTGGGGAACGGAGCTGTGCTGCTCGGCCGCAGGTGTGGCGCTGAGATCGACAAGGCAGACTTCGTCTTCAGGTGATTTGATTCAATTTTGATTTGATTTATTGCAATAGTCCAATACACGTGGGACACAGGCAGCTGTTGCTGGTGTTGTGTCCCGCACATAGAAACGAATACGGGACAGACAATACTCATTTTCACTTGAGTTTAGTGGGGAAAGTCGTGTAAAGTGTCTTTCCCAAGGGCACAATATCTGGGTCTCGAACCCGGGACCTCTTGGTTCTGAGCCATACACGCTATTGCTATGCTACACAACCCCACTCGTAGAACTTTAGACTCAGCTGTCTTCAGTACAGTCTGAAAGAAGTAAACCAGCATCATTCCTTCTGTCCGCAGGAGTAACCTCCCACCGCTGACTGGTAACTTCACTCGGGACACGGGACGGAAGGCCAACTGGACCACAGCTAACCCCATCTCACAGCTCAACTGGAGGTTTGTTCCCTTTCAGTAACCCCCTACAGTACTACTTCTATAGGCAGTATCCAAGAAAGTTTTCTCAAAATTTCTTAGCTGGTTATTTCCACATGACCTGCGCCCTTTGCCCCAGGTTTAACCTGCCCTTTGCCCCAGGTTCAACCTGCTGAGTAACAAGCCTGCCCTTTGCCCTGGGTTCAACCTGCCCTTTGCCCGTTGCCCCTGCTGAGTAACAAGCCCGCCCTTTGCCCTTTGCCCCAGGTTTAACCTGCTGAGTAACAAGCCTGCCCTTTGCCCTTTGCCCTGGGTTCAACCTGCCCTTTGCCCATTGCCCCTGCTGAGTAACAAGCCTGCCCTTTGCCCTTTGCCCCAGGTTCAACCTGCTGAGTAACAAGCCTGCCCTTTGCCCCAGGTTCAACCTGCCCTTTGCCCATTGCCCCTGCTGAGTAACAAGCCCGCCCTTTACCCTTTGCCCCAGGTTTAACCTGCCCTTTGCCCTTTGCCCCAGGTTCAACCTGCTGAGTAACAAGCCTGCGCAGAAGGAGAAGTTTGTTCGGCACGTGCGGCAGTACAGCGGGCTGCTCTGGGTCTCTGCATTCGGGGTCAAAGCTGCTACAAGTACGGTCATCTATCAATACATCTATCAATATATCAATCTATCAATTACTAGTAATCATGTAATCAATGCCTTCATTTTGAACAAGGACATTATATAGGAAGTTGTGACCTAACAAAATCTAGACAAAAGTATATTGAATGCCCTTGTTTTCGATAGGTCAGCACCTTGCAAAAAGCCAGAGGGGTGTATACTATAGAAACATGAACTAAATGATAAAGTCACAGTTTTGCTGAAAAAGTCAGACCTATACATTTGTATGTGTCCAAAGCTTAGCGTATTACAGTGGGAGCCTGATGTTTTTAACTATCTTTACTCTCTATATAATTTGGTTTACAATAACCCCCTACATTCACCATGTTTGTGTAACTGTTCCCCGTTCTGCCCTCAGCGGTGGCGATTCGAGCCCAGCGTGTTCTGCGGGAGAAGAAGCTGAGTTCTCTGGCCGTGGTGTACGGGAATCCTCGCCACTTCGCAGCCGTGCGAGACTTCTGGGCTTACAACGGACTCAGCATGCGGCTGTCAACAGGTAAACAAACAACTCACATGTGGCTGTCAACAGGGAAACAAACAAACAAACAACTCACATGCAGCTGTCAACAGGTACACAAACAAACAAACAAACAACTACACTGTGTGTGTGTGTGTGTGGGCATGTGGAGTGTATAATATTATGTGTGTGTGTGAGTGCGTGTCCGTGTGTGTGTGTGTGTCTGTGTAGATGTGTGTGCATGCGTGCGTGTGACTGTAACACTGTGTCTGACTTGCATCACACCTGTGCTGTTTCTTTTATCACACCTGTGGTATTCCCTGTTCCCACCTGTGCAGGTATCTACCTGACGACCATCGCCATGACGATCTGTGACGAGGTTCACCTGTTCGGATTCTGGCCCTTCGACGTGAGCCACTCCGGAGAGAAACTTCTCTATCACTACTACGACAAGCCCGTAAGTCTTCTCTTCTCACCAATCAGGACATAATTTCTGATTTTTTCATTGTTATTTTATGTTCACTATTTTCCCTGTCACTTTTGTACCGTGAACTTATCAGCACAGTTAACAGATAATTCCCGGACTTTCTTTTTCCTGCACACTGTGAATATATAGTTCCGTGAACATGTCCATTTTTCTCAGACCATGAGAGTTTGCTACCGTGACCATAAAGTAAATTACAGTAGCTGCCTGTCATTCTCTGTTGTGATTGGTTGACACATGATCTCTTCTGACCAATCAGAACATAGAACCTATGATTCCCTGTTGTGATTGGTTGAGGTAGCATCTTTTCTGACCAGTCAGGACATAGATACCTGTGATTCCCTGTTGTGATTGGTTGACCAATCAGAACATAGATACCTATGATTCCCTGTTGTGATTGGCTGACGTTTTATCTCATCTGACCAATCAGGACACAGATACCCATGATTCCCTGTTGTGATTGGCTGACGTTTTATCTCTTCTGACCAATCAGGACACGAAGATGAACCCGAACCTTGACCCCGCCTTCCTGCACAACCTGCCCAAGGAGTTTCTCAAGTTGGTGGAGTTGCACAGAAGAGGCGTTCTCAAGATACACCTCGAGACTTGCCAAACGTCTTAAGATCTACCTGGAGGCATTCCAGCAAGCCTCTTAAAATCCACTTTGAGATGTGCCAGCAAAGTCCTTAACATCCACCTTGAGACATGTCAGCAAATGTCTTAACCCTTGTCCTGCGGGACACATATATATATATGGGTTGCACATGCAGTACCATCTATATAATGCGTAATACGTATATATGTATAATTTGGGGGTGTTTCTCCTGCAATGCGTCACACCGCAGCGAAAACGTAACAAATGTGGAAGTAACTATGCCACCGCAGGGCAAAAAAAGTCAAGGTTCTGTGACCTGATTAAGACATCAAATTATTTGAAAATATTGTGTAAAAAATGCCAGCAGGACAAAGATCCACCTCGAGACATGCCAGCAAACCTTTAAGATCCATGCACTTGGAGAGATCTTAATACATGCCAACTGCTTGAGATTCAGCTATGTGCAATGGTAGGAAATCTTCAGCAGTGAAGACAAGATGCTGTGCCAAGAACCACCTGAACACCTGGGTGGCTACTTCAGGTGTTTTTAGTAAGGCCATGTTGATTTGATTATATGGATGACATCCTCCGGGAGCCCCAAAACTGATGCGCGCGTGCGAATAAAAAAAAGTTTGTCGAAAAAAAGTTAAAGTTTTAC